AGACCTTTTTTTTGGTTCAGTCTATTTTGTATTCTGTAGGCTTCTTGTGTTTTCATTGGCATATCTTTCTTTAGGTTGGGAAAGTTTTCTTCTATGATTTTGTTGAATATGTTTTCTGTGTTTGAGTTGGATTTCTTCACCTTCTTCTATACCTATTATTCTTAGGTTCTCTATTTGCAACTGCATTGGCATTAAATGTGAATTCATGAAATTTTCTGTGAAGAATTTCATTGGCATTTTAATGGGGATTTCACTGGACCTGTAGATTATTTTTGGTCTGATGGCCAGTTTTTTGATATTACTCCAACCAATCCTTGAGTATGGGAGGTCTTTCCATCTGGCATCTTCTTCAATTTCTTCTCTCTCTCTCTCTCTCTCTCTCTTTCTCTCTCTCTCTCTCTGTGTGTATCTTAAAGCTTTTGTTGTGCAAATATTTTACATCCTTTGTTAGGTTTATTCCAGATTTTGTTTTTGAGACTATTACAAATAATTTTGTTCTCTGTATGCTGGTTTTATGTGTCAACTTGACACAAGCTAGAGTCATGAGAGAGGAAGGAGCCTCTGTCTGAGGAAATGCCTCCTTGAGATCCAGCTGTAAGGCATTTACTCAATTAGTGATCAATGGGGGAGGGCCCAGTCCATGGTAAATGGTACCATCCCTGGGCTGGTAGCTCTGGGTTCTATAAGAAAGCAGGTTGAGCAAGCCAGTAAGCAGCACCCTTCCATGGCTTCTTCATCAACTCCTGCCTCCAGGATCCTGCCCTGTTTGAGTCCCTATCCTGATTTCCTTCAGTGATGAACAGCAATGCTGAAGTGTAAGCCAAATAAACCATTTCCTCCCTAACTTGCTTTTTGGTCATGGTGTTTCATCACAGCAATAGAAACTCTTACTGAGACCCCCAATGTGTTTGCTGTTTGTATATTGGAAGGCTACTTATTTTTGTGTGTTAATTTTGTGCCCTGCTACTTTGCTGAATGTAGCTACCAACTACAGAAGTTTTCTGATGAAGTGCTTAGAGTCTTCTTTTAGAATCATATCACCAATACTTTCTTATATTTATATTGCTTTTGAATACAGTTTTATTTCTTTTATCATCAGACACAATACAGAATGTCATTTTAGTTTTTCTGTATTTGTTGAGACTTGCTTTATAACAATATATGTGGATAATTTAGGAGAATATTCCATGGGTTGATGAAAAGAATGTGTATTCTTTAGTGTTTGAACAGAATGTTCTGTTGATATAGTTAGGTCCATTTGATTTATGATGTCACTTAACTCCAGAGTTTCTCCTTTTTTCTGACAAACTGTCCATTGTCACAGTACTGGGGTTGATATGTGGCTTTAAAGTTAGTAGTTTTTTAGTGAAATTGGGTGTTCCTCTGTTTTAGTGTATATACATTTAGAATTTTAATATTGTTTCAGTGGCTTTTCCTTTAATGAATATGAAGTGTGTCCTTTCTTATCTCTTCTGATTGTTTTTGTTTTAAAATCTGTTTTATCAGATATTAGAATAGCTACATCTGCTTCTTTCTTAGTTTTATTTGCTTAGAATGAATACCTTTTTCCATCATGTTAGCCTGAAATGGTGTCTACCACTGACAATGAGATGTGTTTCAAGGAGACATTGATCTCCTTTCAAAGATCAAACATGTTTACTAATTCAATCTATTAGCCTGTGTGTTTATATTAAAGAATTGAAACCATGAATATTCAGTTATTTCTGAAAGATATGTATTAGTTCCTGTCATTTTGTTAATTTTGTGGTGTTTTCTTGTCTCTTTTAATCACCTGTCCTATCATTTTTTATTGCCTATGTTCTCTTGAGTGTGTTTATCTTTCTCTGGAGATTGGATTATTCCTTCTAAGATCTTCTGTAGAGCTGACTTAGTAGTCATGAATTCCTCTAATATGTTCTTATCACAAAGTTTTTAGCTCTTTTTCAATTTCAATACATATATTTCTGGATATAATAATCCTAGTTGACAGCTTTGGTCTCTCAAGATATGAAATATATCTTTTCAGGCCCTTCAAATTTTTTGATCAAATGATCAGGTATTATCTAATTGGCTTGCCCTTGTAAATGACTGGCTCTTTTTTTCTTGTTCCTTCAAAAACTTTTGTTCTGGGGGCTAGAGAGTGGCTCAGCAGTTAAGAGCTCTGACTGCTCTTCCAGGGGACCTGGGTTCAATTCCCAGCACTCACATGACAAATCACAACTATCTATAACTGCAGTTCCAAGTAATATGACACCTTCATACATACATGCAGGCAAAAAGCAATGCACAATCAATAAATAAATA